TTATTAGTAACCGTTTCTTGAAGCCATAGTCCAAGGTTTTCTGAAAAATCAAGGAAGATGGCATCAACTCAAGGAACAGTTTCAAAAAAGGAATGTCATGACTGAAAGCGGCAAGTTGTACTTCACATAAATTTTGCTTTCAAAAGCCGTGTTGGTCGAAGAAAATTGATTATTTTGTTTTAGCAACTGAATAACATGCGTATGAACAACATGTTTGATGTTTACAATAGGGAGAAGTTAATTATATGGACCGATAATTTAGCGAGGAGTGTGCGTCGCCACATTAAATTGAAACGACCTTATCTTGTTCCCAGTCGTCAGGAATGACACCAGTATATAGAGACTATAGGAATATTAATGTTAGAAAACACTCATAATTGTTTAGTAATCTTTAACTTTTTGCTGCAGATGTCATCAGTTGCTGGTAACGGCGACGTTGTCAGTGCATCTATGAAATTTGCAATGCTATTTTCGGAAAATATTTTGGGTTCATCTCTGATACGAACAAGTTGGTAATATCTGGAAGTGACGAGGAACACTATGATTAGACACAAGCCTTCTACTAAAATAAACACAGTTTTTCAACTAGCCTTGAAATAAGTGAAATGAACGCTAAGGCTAGATTTTTTTTTAATTTTTGGTACACAAGCTATCAACAAAGAAAGGTCAGTGGGTGACGGCTTCAACATACATAATTTTCAAATTCATTTATTAACCGTTATTTAAGCGATATGCTCCCTGCAGCTGGTGTTAAAGGCACGGAACATAACCAGATAACTAAACAAATTGTGTTTTGTGAGTCTAAAAACAAGCCGAGGTGTAGGAACAGTCAGGCACATTTTCATCTCTATTAGTTTCTGCTTGTTCTCACCTCGAAATCTGGTATGTTTCCTGGAGATAGAATCATAAATGGGGCTTGGTTCTGTTGTTTTTCTTCTCGGCAGTCAGAGACCATCCGCTCTTAGAATTTTCCGTGCATACTACACCGCAATGACCACGAAACGTTTTCAGTCGATCATCTATTCGCTTCAATAGAAAATCAAGAGACTCGCTCAAGATGATATCACATCTGGGACAAACATCTAGGACATGCACTTTTTTTTTCTTTGGTGAATGTAAAATAAACCTTTATTATAGGAAATTTTATTATAGGTAACTAAACAAATTATTATTATAAGTAACTTACTTTATTATAGTTGTCTTAAGAAAGGCAGCGGGTGGCATGTTATTTGCTAGCGTCATGCTTCACGATGCACGATTCGTGATGGTTTAGCACTGGAGCCGCAACTTCATTAACTGTAGAATGATAATGAGATGCTTGGTACTGACCACGCCCTGAATGTTTTAGACTGCCAGGAACTAGGGTCCCACTTACCTGTGTATGTCCTGTCTATTCTTTGATTTCATGCAGGCTTTCTCACACGTTTCAAGCGTAGTGATCAAACACCCTCGAATGGTACCCATTCACCAGCTCAACTATTGGGAAGTGCGATCGGCCTCAAAATCTAATATTTACGCTGTTTTGTGGCAACAAAAAAGAAGAAAAAGCTTGTGCGAATTTTTGCCACTGAGTCGGTACGGTCATTACAGCATGATGGGGATTGCTCTTCTCCAGGCATGGGCAAAATACATGCAGATATGTATCGAAATACAAATACTAAATACTTCGTCAAAAATGTATTTAATTACAAATCTAATTACATTTACAAAAAAGCATTTAAGTACAAGATACAAATGCAACCAAATGCATTTGGTCTCGTCCAAATACTTTTCCAAGTACATTCCTCAAAATTTGCGTCAGCGACTTCAGGGCACCTGCAACGGGTTTCTGGGTATCTCATTTTAATTTTGCATCGCACACACAGGAGTAAGTGTTCGAGGCTCTAGTAACGTGATAGAAATATAATCACAAAAAATGTAATCAGCTTGGACGTAATAGGTGAAAAAAGTACAGAGCTGCAAGCAGCTTTTTTTGTCGATTACATTTTGATATAGACCAACAAAGAACCGAGACGACCAAGACGCGCAGCACTAGCTAGGGAATTTTTTATTGTTGCAACTCGCACCAGTTACGAAAATCTGGACGACCCGCGCATTTAAAACGTTCCAGGCAAAAATATGGATGGAAATCAGGCTGAAAAGCATCACAAATTGTCACAGGCACTTATTTAGCCAGTCTGCCTGTGAACTACGATTTCGTCACTATTCTTGCCCTGGAGTAGCACCGTAATAACAAAGTCATTAAACGCTTGTGCTTGATTGAGAGACAATGCATTCGGTGCAGAACTTAGTTTTCTTCTTGCTCTGGACAGTGGCAATAAATTTGAGGGATGTATTTTGCCCACAAAATTATATTTAATTACAATTGTATTTGAAATACCCACGTTTTAGAATTTAAATAAACACGTCAAATACATTACCGAATTTGTAATTAAATACAAATGCAAAATACACAAAGTATTTGAAATACCTATTTCAAATACTTGTATTTGAAATACTGTCCATCCTTGCTCTTCTCATTGCATAAACATATTAAAGGAAGACAAACAAGTCGCGTTTTGACTGGTTTACAGTGCAGCATTGGTGTAGGAGCGTAGTGGTGATCTTTTGGGTGATCGGTTATGAAGTTATTACCTTTGCATAATAGGGGCCACTAGAAATATCTCCAATAACATTTACACTGCTGCGCAGCTAACTGTTCGCGGTCTTTGCGAGGCCCCTGTGCTTTTTTGCTCCCGGTTTGTTGAACCGAACTTTTTGTGGCAGCGGAAGATGCTGCCATGGATTTTGTGCAGGCTCAGAGTAAGAAGTGGACGTTTTCTATGGGACTGGAGGGTTGAAGAGCTGACACGACGCTTGTTGAGAAAAATCTCTTCCATCAGCCGGTAAACCCTTTGCTCCGAAGGGGTGGGTGTTCTAGACCTTAAAAGCGGTTTCGGGACAAGACAAGGTATCCCCGTCTTGTCTAAATTGATCTAATTAGGTCGGCGGCCTGACCAAGTGAGAAGCTGAGCTTGAATCGGGACTTTTGACGCTTCATCACGTTATGGAGGTCCATCCTGATTTTCCCTAGCTCTATTTTACACGGACTATTCATGTCGCCCACTTTCTTTTTTCAGAGCGCAGCTCTAAGGCGCCCGTTTCCGGGTTGAGCGTCGTCGCTGCCAGCGTCGGCGTCGGCGTAACCACACGTTGCATTACGGGGCGTGTCCCATATTGACGTCACGCCAAATTTAGCGGAAAATTTTTGTGAAAATTTTTCCGCTAAAATTAGCAAGGAAATTGATACCACGGGACCTCTACACCAATTGAGTTTCCCCGCTAAATTTAGCGGGAAATTGTTGATTAATTTTCGCTTAATTTAGCGGCAAATTTCGCTATAAATTTTTCGCTAAATGGGAGGGGAGCAGGAGAGGAGAAGGGGAGGGTACGGAGGGGGAGCAGGGACATACCCTCCCCTTCGTACCCTCCCTTCCTCCTCCTGAAGAGCTGCGTTCTGATTCGGCATTACAGAGAATTGTAAACGTCTAATTTTCAACAAAATCCTTCCCTCGAGTTGAATGGTTTTAAAATAGTGTGAAGGTATATGATTATGATGCAATTAGATGCAAAGGTGGAAGCGAGCTGGACAAGAATGACGATAATACTCCCTGGAGAAGGGGGACAAGAGGGACAAAGCTGTGTTTGGAGATATGTGTTTGTCCTTTGTCCCTCTTTTTCGCCTTCTCCCGGGATTATTATCGTCATGAAAGTATATTGCTTTTGACAATGCTCCTTGTTTCTCATCAATTCTAGAAAGTGGGTAATAAATTATGCTTGACAAGACCAAATGCGAAAATTGTTCGACCGCCTGGCAGCACTCTGTGCGCTGCCATCTTTGTTGCATCGAGATTCCTTTTCTGTTTGTCAATTTCGTAGCTTTGACGGTAACAATCAAGATCTACTGCTCACCGTCATCAATCCTCCCCCCCCCCCCCCCCGGGCGAGCTACGGTTTAGCATTGTTTCAAGCCCTTCTTGCATATGTGCGAGCTCCTCGCCCCGCCGATTGCTGGTTTCTCGCCGCATCCAACATGGCGGAACGTACACCTCAGCTCTAAATTTGGCTTTGAGTACCGGCAAAAGCACGGGCGCGGGCGCTTGGTTTTCGAAAGCGCTTTCTCTGCGCGCGTGACTGTGCGAGCGAAGGATTCTTTGGAACTACGCTTTCGCTCCCTGGCTTTTGCCATCGCCGAAGCCAACTTGTTTGACGGAGCATGTTCTTCGGCACCCCACTAAATGACGCTGTGCATTTGGCGTATGGTTTTGTAGACCATAGGCGAAGTGCTTGCTTAGTCTTTGGCTTATAATTTCTAAACTTTTTTCACGAAGTGAACATCCCGTTTGGTAATTGGGCCGTCGTGTAAAGCGGTTCAAAAGTGTACGTGGTGACATATTGAATGCTGTGTACAGAACTGTTTATATTAATTCGTATCTTCCTTTTTCTGTTGGGAAACAAAACTTAAGGTCAGAAATAGAGCATCCGGGTTGGTGTGCTCAGTCGTTAGGGTCAGAATCAATGTGTCCACAGTCGATGGTCATGCTGCACAGGAATTACTTCTCCCGTATTCTGTCTATCAAGCTCTTATTGCCCATACTGGTGTAAACGATGTCCACAAAGTCAGCGTGCTCTTTAGTCAGGGGGACGCGGTACTTCTGAAACTCCGACTCTGCTAGATTGAGACCTGCCAGAAAAAGAAAAAAAAACTGAGCACATCAGACATAGGAGTCTGAACGTTTGAAAAGCTTAGTTGTCGAAGCAGTTTTTTTTTTTTTCTTCTTTGTTTTCTTTTTTTTTTTCTGCGTCTTGCATTTGAGAATAATCCTTAGAGGATCTTTTGAAGATCTGTGAACCATATCAACAACTACTAAGGGTCAGGCAGTGCATGACAGGCAATCTTTTATTAACGGCGGAGATGTTCAGATCAAAGTTTGATGGTGAAGTTTGACATGTCTAACCTCTTAATCCTGCTTCCCGCTATGACGCTCCTGAGAAACATCATCGCAGTTAGCTAAAGTCAAGTTTTTAGGCAACGACCCATTTTTCCTGGAGTACGACTGGACGTAGAAGTTCAGAAATAAACCCAAGAGGAGGAGCGTCTGAGCATTCGCGATGTGGATCAGGTATCTGGGGAAGTCACAATCCACGAACAAGGGAATGGACATGTGGGCAATGTAGATGACGATCTGCACAATCTGTATCGATGTGAGGTACCTCTTCCACCAGAGGTAGGGCCGTACTGTGGGACCGAAGGTGGCGAGGAGGTAGTAAGAGTACATGACGGTATGCACGAAGGTATTCATGACGAGGCCCAAAGCAGGCTGGCCTTCTGGAGCGAACAGAGTCCAGAACCAGGCATTCACTGCCACCAGCGAATGGTGGATGACGTGCAGATGCGTGATGTGCGTGAACTTCTTTCGGAGCACAAAAAAGACGGTGTCTAGTAAGTCGGCATAGCGCACTGCGACGTACCACCAGCCGCTCCTATAGACACCGACGAGCTCATCGTCCATATAGCCTGTGATTCCTTGGCACCAAAGGTTGTAGCGTCCTCCTGGAAGGTAGGTGTTGCTTAGGACGATGTAGAAAAACCTGGCGTTTAGTGCGACCATGGCGAGGTTGTAGCAGCGAATCAGGTTGACAATCTTGAAAGGCGCTCTGTTCTTCATCAAGCGTGGACCTGCGCGCTTGACAAAGTATAGGTACGATAGAATCAGCGGGAAAACAAACAAGGGGTTGACAACAAGAGGGTATTCTCTGGTCCTGGGGTCTCCCATTTCTTGGATCCTTCTCAGGAATGTGATGGGGTTCACGTGTAGCGTCCCATTGGCCTCCATCTCCACTGCAGCTTCTTGATCACGCTAAAATTTGGACCGAAAAAATGGGGAAAAAAAAGGATGTAGAAAGGTATGGTGTCCCTAGTTTAGGTTTCTATTTATGTTTCCTTGCGTTGCCTCCTAAGACCTCTCCCCCCCCCCCCCCCTTTTTTTTTTTTTTTTTGAACATCTCCACATTAAGCGTATTTTACGAAACGCCGTAAAAAACTGCGCATGCTTTATATATTTATAATCGGGGGGGATAAAATACTTTTTTTTTTCATTGTGCCCACTATGCTTGTCATTGAAGTAGAACCTTTAAAATAATTAATTATAAAGTGAATTACTATAAGTAATTATTACCGTAATGATAAAAACATTTATTTGTTTCCTAAATTTGCCATATGCCACGAACGAATATTACATCAGCCCTTTTTCTGTGCAATGCGTACATTTCACAGCAAAGATTTCGCCCGCATTTCGTGATTTCTTGAAACATTTTCTATGTATACCTGAGTGCTTTTCACAAGGACGTGACTTTCATATAGTTTATATTTTACAGAAATATGCAATATGACCCTGACCAACACTGTCATGGAAGCACCCAACAATAAAACCCTTGTGGTTATCAACTTCTATGTGTATTTCAATGGGTAAGCATGAGTACTTAGAAAGGTTAGACTGGTTTGTTTGTCGTCACAAACAAATTGAACACCGAAATACCGACTCTCCATATACTATTTTCTCGCTTTGTTTTTACGGTGATAACTTCCAAGTGCGAAGGCTTTGGGCTTCACGGTTATGTGCTGTGCACAGTTCTCAACTGCCGGCAGCAGTGGTGTCCATCCACAGTCGTTCGTCCGCTAATGACCCGTGGAAGGGGGGGGGGGGGGGGAGGAGGAGGCAACGCAAGAAAACACAAATATAAAACCAAGGAAGCTAGGGACAGCATGACTTAATGTACCCTACGATAGAAAAGCAGCACTGTACTGCATTGTCCGTTGCAAGAAATGTCTCCTTGGAGCGGACGTCGCACAGGAAAGCCACTATAATGAAGAAAACCTAGCTTAATTTGAGTAAAGGTTTGTTGTTGTTTTTCTCTTAAAAGCCGACGCACACTTCACACTTTCCACTTTTGCCCGCCCCCTCCCTTCTTATACCCTCTCCACCTTTTACCTTGCCCCAGCTTTGCTCCCCTCGCAGCTTAGGAGAGGGGAGCGCTAAAAGGATTCCCTTCCCTGCAGAAAACCGAGGTTCTACGTCGGCCTCTAAGGAGGTCATATGTTACTCAATTTTGCCATAAATTCCAGTCACTTAAAATCGTTAAATCAAGTTTAAGAAAAATTAAAAAGTGGCGTTATTTAAATATTGACGCGCAATTTTGCCACTTTTAGAGAAATGACCTGCGTTTCGGCAACAATAAGAGAACTACAGGGTCCGATCGAGAAAAGTAAACCCTACTTTTCTGCCCACATAGAAAAACTACGCATCGCAGAACGCTCAAACTCCGCCAGAATGTAACCCTAGCGGTCCAAGCAAGATGCCAAAGTTTCAGAACATGAGATTACCTGGATCAAAAAATAAAAGAAAAAAACAAGAAATCTCTACGGGGAGACGAAGACGGAGGCACAGAGTTTGTCGTGGACGGAGGCCGTCTGCTTTGCGTTGCATCGCATAGGTGGCGCCACCACCTATGCGGGCTGGCGGGTTATCACGGGCATCTGCCGGGCTGGGCGGCAAATTCGAAATTGTTCTCTATCATTTTTAAATTTCACTTGCGCACTGCTTTTCACTGCAACGGAAATAAAGAATACACGCTCTAATTTGTGATACTTCGGTGCATTTTCTCAGGCATAACATTTCTTCGTGCTAATTATTTTAGCAGATGTCGTCTGCTTTGCTCTTCGCAAACCCGAACACCGCGATGCACCTATTCTTCTCGTTCGGTAGCACCTTCGACACTTGGTGCTGCAGATTATGTGAAGTTCGGTATGAACGTGGTAGCTTCCTCTAGTGGCCAAGTCTGCTCACTGCCAATAAATCGTTTATATCGTAATTAATTTATTGAAAGTTACAATATTTGGGCTCCGCCTTCAGAGGAGCCTCCTTTCGATTGCAGATGAACTTCAGTTGGGCCAATATATTTTCCTTTTTTTAACTTCTGTACCGTTTTCTATGTTTGCGTACTTAGTGCTTTTTTCTTTTTTTCTGTTTTTTGTTGGCAATGAAAATTAAAAAAGGGAGAGTCAGAAGATGCCAAGTCAGCGACTTTGTGACCCGGTTTACTCATTATGTCGAGTCTCGAACACGTTCGAATTTATTATGATTAATATTATTAAAGGATTTCAGTGCTTTTGGTTTGCTGGTATTTGGATTAAATGCTGGACAATTAAGCTGCCCCGTCAAACAACAAGTTTGACTTTTTGCATGGTCCGGAGACACCAGATGAGAGAGACACGGGAGAGCGCCGAGCAGCAGTAGCTCAGCAGCCGACAGCCGTAATTGGTAGCCCTAAAAATGGCCATTTGTCAGAGGTAAACGAAATAAAAACGGGAAAAGACCGCGCACATGGCGGAAGCTATTCATGCTTCCAGATGAAAGTATGTGGAGTGCGTCAGGGGCAGGCACTGGAAGGCATCACCGTAGTCCCACGGTTCTGCCTCAACGTGACCTATTGCCAGGTGCAACGTCCAAGTCTCGCCTCGTATTCGACAAACGCCGCAGCTCTCATTTCGTCCGTAATGAGCAGAAACGCAGCCTCAATGCGTTGCTTGAGGATGTCGAGGGTGGAGATTCAGCCGGTGTAGACCTGTGACTTGATGAACCCCCCTTACAAAAAGATCACAGATTGTTAGGTCAGGGGATCGCGGTGGCCATGGCATGCTAGGCGAGCCTTTTCCCATCCAGCCTCCAGGAATGGTCTCACTTTACCATTTCCTGACGGAGGTCCACCAGTGTGGTGGCGCTCCATCTTGCATGAATACGCAAACTTGTCGTTGAATGTGGAGGGCCTCGAGCTCGGAAAGAAACTCCTCTTTCAACGTGCGCAGATAACTTCTGCCCGTCACAGACTCATCGAGAAAAAAAGGCCCAACAACACCCTCCCTCCAGATCCCGCGCCAGACAGTTACCTTGGGAGGGTACTGAAACTTCTCCATAGTCCAGTGCGGGTTGCCGTTGCTCCAGTACCGGCAGTTCTGAGCGTTGACTTTTCCGTCGAGGTGAAAGACAGCCTCGTCCGAGAACAGAAGGAAGTCCAGATGGGAGGGGTTGGCCGCGATCCTTAGGATCTCTTCGCGGCAAAAATTGAGCCGTCTTTCATAGTCTTCAGGCTTCAGCTCGTGGAGAACGCAAACCTTGTAGGCATGCAGGTTGTGCCGGCGAAGAATCCGGCGCACAGTGTAATCTGAAACTCCACACAAACTCGCCGCTCTCTTCGTTGACAGGTGCGGGTCCGCTTCGAAAGCACCCATGATCCCGTACGCGAGCTGCTCTTTCTCTTGCGTGTTGGCGAAGACGTGTTCTTGTTCGCGTCGCTGCCCACTGCGCCAAAACGCTGGACCCACTTCCAGATGGTTCTTTTTGACCGCGGCCTGGAACGGTACACTCGACGGTATCGGCGGCGAGCATCCTTAAAGCTTCTGCGCTTTAAATACGAAACCACGACGTCCGCGCGTTGCTTTTGGGATAATTGCCTCATCAGGTAGGAAAGTGCAGCGAAACACGGTAGAGACTAAAAGTAATCAACAGGAGAGCCGGCGTTCGGGTTTGCGAAGAGCAAAGCAGACGACATCTGCTAAAATAATTAGCATGAAGAAATGTTATGCCTGAGCAAATGCACCGAAGTATCACAAATTAGAGCGTGTAATCTTTATTTCCGTTGCAATGAAAAGCAGTGCGTAAGTGAAACTTCAGAAATGATGGAGAACAATTCCGAATTTGCCGCCAAGCCCGGCAGATGCCCGTGATAACCCGCCAACCCGCATAGGTGGTGGCGCCACCTATGCGATGCAACGCAAAGCAGACGGCCTCCGTCTGCGTCTCTCCGTGGTCGGAGCCTCCCCGTAGAGATTTCTCGTTTTTTTTTTTTTTGTTTTTTTTTTCTTTTATCTTTTGATCCAGGTAAGCTCATGTACTGAAACTTTGGCAGCTTGCTTGGACCGTTAGGCAGGGACTCAAACCGAAAAATATAACGTTTCGGTTACGGTTACGGTTACCGCTTCCTGTTGATAACGGTTTCGTTTCGGTTTTTTACGGTTTTAATTTTTACGGTTTCGGTTACCGGTTACACGTTCATAAAAAACGGTTTATTTTCGGTTTTTCCAATAATTTGTCTAATTGAAATGCTAGACAGCCATTTTAGAAAAAACTCTTTAAAGTAGTCTCAGATATCCAATAACGTGAAATACAAGGAACCTAGAGACGTCTTAATACTTCTAATTGGTCAGAAGTTGTACACGTTCCTAGCTCCAACTCTTGTTCACTACATCTACTTACATTATTTAGTTTGATGCCCGAGCATACATGTTACTTCTAGTACTCGGGGATCATCGCGTTCTATATAATAAAAATTAAAATAAACACCGCTACTCTGTTGTTTGGCACCATTTATAAACAATTACCCTAAGAAAGTTCCCACTTGATGCTGGAAGAACCATTCGCACTTTCTCGTCGCTACAGTTGATTTCAACCTCATACATGCAGGCGAGTCTTCGCTTCACTGAAGGAAGGAACAGAACTACAGCCATCCACTAGTAAAATACTGCTAAGTGGAATGAAGTAATAAAATTGAGAGCTGGGCTGGGCGGGCCGTGAGGCAAGAAGCCTTCGTGCAGCGAATGGAAAGTCCGCCGTAGTCGGGCGGCCCGTGAAAACTACTTGCCTCACTAAACACTGCCCAGTCGACTTCAGGTGCCTGCTGGGTCGAGTGGACTGGCGGTGTAGGTCCCGTCGCTTTTGACTTGTAGGCAGTGCTACCCAGGTCCGACTGAGAGTCTTCGACGACGCTTTGTTTGTCTGTAGTGTGTTCCTTTGTGTTGGTGTGGTTTTCCTCCTTGCCATCGTACGTGTCGAAGGAGCCGTCATCGGCGTGGGGCTCAATGACTGTCGGTCCTGCTGAGCCACTCCAGGATTCGCTCGGTGGCGGTGGTTGTCGAGTCGGGATCCATTGGGTCGTTTTCTTCGTTCCAAGATCAAGCTCGGGCACGGTCGGCCGAGACGCCAGCCTCGCAAAGAGCATGGGCGAGAATGTCCTCGACAGGAAAAACGCACAGGAGCGTCGAGGAGACGACTGTGCCGTCGATGACGGCACTGGTGGGTTTCGAAGACTCAGCGTAGCTGCCGGACTCACGATTAGGGGGCCTCTTCGACTTGGTGTCTGGGCGGTAGCTGGTGTGCGCGGGAGCACGAGGCGTGTGGCGTCCGCGTCGAGGCTGGTTGGGTAGCTGGTCGGGGAGCTCTCTGAAAACCTCAGACTCGAATCCTCGACGTCTGGGATAGGACTGCCGTCCTACAGTTCCCTCTCGCGACGACGTGGAAGAGTTCCAGTCTATCGAAAATGAGGTGCTGGTGTTCGGGGAGCATGTCATCCCAGTAGAACCGATGGCGGGGGAGATGCCTGATCTCATGGACATCTCTCGTGGAGAAACTTATGGTGTCCTAGGCGAGGTCGCTCAGAATGTCGTAGGCATGACGGACCCTCGCTCCGGCATGGGTGGGGGGGGGCTCTATCAGAGGTAGTTGAATTGCGCTGGTGGCTCTTGTAGAAATGATTCTCGTAGAAGCCATACCTCCGGCGGTGGCAGGGGGAGGCCTCCGGCGATGCTGGAAGCGATCTCTCGGCGCGTCTGTGGATGTTTGAGCTCAACGTGCCGACGTTCGAATAGCTCGCGTTCACAGTTTTGCGAGAGAGACTGTTGAGACTGCTGGCCGTGTGGGCGAGATTGGCCAGGCCATCGACGATTGGAAGCAGGGCAGCTCCCAAGGTTCAGGCGAAGGAGGCAGAAATTGCATCCCATGTCTGTTGGACGAGGGTGGCGCGTTGAGGCGTTTGACGAGGAGGCATCCTTCTCCTTGGCTTTTTCTTTTGTCATGTTGAGAAGCTGAGAGGCGTGGCAGTGCCGGCGACGGTAAAGCCCCTCTATCCTGGGAAAAGTGGCGCCGTTCATTGTTGTTAAATGCTCGAGGCACGTGCGACGCGCTACTTCTGGGAAATTCATGCCGTCTGAAATAGCTAAGTGTTGCGCTGTGCCGCCATGATCTTCCCAAGGGCTGCACGTTGCACGTGCCTTGTGCATCGACGAACATTGCGCTACTTTTGAAACATGAAGGGGCTTTAGGCGGCGGGTGCCACTCGGTTTGAAGAAGGGTCTCGGCGCGGGAAGGAAAATAAAAAAACTCGGACACCCTTCTGACGTTTCCTCGCTCCTTCCACCACTCTCAGCCCGAGCATATATATATATATATTGTATATATAATACAAAACGCCAATGTCAAACCCCTGACTTTTTTTTTTCTTTCTGTGTTGTTTCAAAATCGTCACTCGCGACACGTTTCACACTAAATGAACAACATAAACATTATTAATGAACAGCAGGGCCCATTAAAGCCCCTTCATGTTTCAAAAGTAGCGCAAAGTGCGTCGATGCACGAGGCACGTGCAACGTGCATCCCCTGGGAAGGTCATGGCGGCACAGCGCAGCACTGAGCTAGATTTCAGACGCCATGTTCTTTCCAGAAGTGGCGCGCTGAACGTGTCTCGCGCGTTTCCACAAAAATGAAGGCGCCACTTTTCCCAGGATACAGGGGCTTTAGGGCCCGTTTGCTCGAAGCGCTAACCGCGGCTAAAGTTAGCCGCAGTACCTAGGAGAGGGATTCTGAGATCATGTGACAGGGATCGGTAGGGATGCGGGAAAACATGGCGGTGCCCCGCAAAGTGAGCGCCGCTCGCTTCGGAACTAATATGTCGTTGTAGCTGCAATATCGCGCGCGTTTGTCAGTAACTAATGGTGCAGGAGGCTTTCGCTTTGCCTTACCTCACTTAAATCGCAAAGCATGAGCAATGACCTCGCCGCAATTTTTAGATAGTATTTTGATTCTGGCCATTCTTAAGCCTAAATGAACACGATAATTGTCGGCATGCATGGAAACGTCTTTGGAAAGTGGATTGCCTTGACTCAATCGGCCTTGTATTGATAGCACACAAATTTCCCAAGCACCGAGGTGCATGCTACGAGTGTAGTTGCAGGCATTGCGCGTGCTGGCGTATGCAGTAGTAATATACCCGTTGCTCTGGGCAGGGGGCGCGAGCGCGTCCGGAAGACTTACGCAAGACGCAACCAAGTTTTGCTGGCTGCATCATCCGCGTGGCGCTGTAACGTTCGATTTTGCACGTGCCACGTTCGAATACAAGCCGCTGTCAGCATCTGTAGATGTGCGGTAACAAAACGTCTAAAAAAAGTAAAAAAAGAAAAGAACAGAATTATGCTGCTTGCGGCCGCAGCGTTCCATTAAACATTCCTTTCATATTTGCTTTCTTTCACAGCTTCCGCGAGCACATATATTTCACTTTACGTGATAGTGAAGCCGAAGCTACTCGGAAAAGCGCGTCATCCTGAACGATGCTCGCACTGCACGAGCGCGCGTGCTGGGCAGGGACGCGGAAAGCTCGCAGCTCGCTCTTGTAGCCTCTGCTACGCTGGAACTTAGAATGGAACTGAGTAGAAAAAACTCTAGTGGGGAAGCGTATTGATGCATGTTCGAAACGCGAGCCAAATATTCTATTTTGCTCGCCTGCAGCGCTGCTCAAAACTTGTGAGCTACGGGCCTATCGTTCTAAAGGAAAAAGTCTAAAACAAATTTTGCCTTGCACGCGCGTTCGCCCAAGTCTTATAATGATTATTTACTTCGAATCTTTTATAAGAGGAAGGACAGCGAGCGCGGACCATAGAATTACACTTCCAGCGTTCGTCTCGATGCTTGGGTAATTTAGAAAAAGGTCTGTCGGGGCGGGACGCTGGTCTTCTTTTGTGTACTATTAATATCCGGTCGATTGAGTCAAGGCAATCCGCTTTCCAAAGACGTTGCCATGCCGACACTTATCGCGTTCATTTAGGCTTAGAAAGGCCAGAATCGAAAGACTATGCAACAAATGCCGCGAAGTCATTGCTCGTGCTTTGCGATTTAAGCGAGGTAAGGCAAAGCGAAAGCCTCCTGCACCATTCGTTGCTGACTAACGCGCCCGATAGTGCAGCTACAACGACATATTAGTTACAAAGCGAGCGGCGCTCACGCACCGGGGCGCCGCCATGCTTCCCGGCATCCCAGCCCCCAGTCACGTGATTTTAAACTCCCTCTCCTAGGTACTGCTGCTAACTTTAGCCGCGGTTAGCGCTTCGAGCAAACGGGCCCAGGTTTTCTTTTCCGCCAGCTCTGCATGATAGCCAATTTACCTCGTTTCTTTATACTGGCTACTGTATGTCAGGAACATCGGTGGTTTTGATAGAACCGAGTTGGATGGACATCTGAGAATTCGAACTTATTAGTTATTACACTGAAAGCGACACGTACTGAATACATGTAGCGATGTAGGAGTGTGGCAGATTTAGAAATATAGAATTTTTTTTAATTATAAGCTCGACCACTAATTCAATCTGAGTATTCTTAATCCTAAAGTCAGATTGAATGGAAATATGTAACCAGATGCACCACTCGCTGACAGTCTCTCTGTCAAATGGCCACAACAATTTAAGATCCCTCCTCCAGGTCATACTTCAGAAAAACTAATAGTTTATTTTTCGGTTAATATTGGTTAAAACCGGTTACCGGTGAATAATTTGCGGTTCCGGTTACGGTTACGGTTTTTATAAATATCAAATAACGGTTTCGTTCCGGTTCCGGTTACAGAAAAAATTTCGTTCCTAAACGGTTTTCGGTTTCGGTTACGGTTACGGTTTGAGTCCCTGCCGTTAGGGCTACATTCTGGCGGAGTTTGAGCGTTCTGCGATGCGTGGTTTTTTTACGCGGGCCGAAAAATAAGGTTTACTTTTCTCGATCGGACCCTGTACAACAATGGCTAAGCATATTTTTATATATTCGTAAAATGCATTTAAAGATTATAATATTGATGTATTTTGCTTGGTTTCGTATAAAGTAGATCGCAACTCATTTGCGAATGTGCCTCTAAAACATATTTACTTCACATGTTTCATCAAGTATTTTTGCATACAATTTTTTTTTTATTTCAGTTTCTTATATTTCGTGTACACGTCGTAAACCTTTCATAAAATAAGTACAACAAATTATTATTGCGTACATTCTTCAGTGTGAAATTGACGGCTGTGCAAAGTACCAAAGTGAAACCTTGGCAATCTCCACGACTCGAGCTTTAAAACTGCATATCTCTGGAAGAAAATTAGCCACAGCGTTTCCATACAGATGAATGCTTCTTCCAGGAACATGGCTTTAACGTATATTTTTTTACATAATTGGAAAACAAATATGACTTCTTATCAGTGCACGATCTGACGTTTAAACACCCTACTGTAATTGGCACAGAGGCATACTTCAAACGATTATTACGCTCTTTGCTTTGCCATATACTTCGGCAAACTTTAAACGGACAATTCTTTAAAAGTTAAATGCATACGTATGAGGTATTTCCTTTCGAGGCAACACACACTGTGTCCCAAAAAAATATTTGAAATGCTTGTTTTTTTTTTTGTTTTTTTTTTTTGTTTTTTTTTTCACCGCGAAAATAAACTACGCATCGCCTAACGCTTGCTCTCCGCCTCAGCGCAGCGCTACCGGTCCGCACAAGATGCCAAAGTTTCAGAGATTTCCAGTGTTTTTTTTCTTTTTTTCAAGTGTTATAAGTGATATTTTTGTCTAAACGGAAAAAAAATTAAATTTCTTCTTGGCCGCTTTTGTAATTCAGCTTCATGTAGACGTGGGTTCCGTCGGCCACCATTTTCTCATTAAAAATTTCCGACTATTGCTTATAACTTTTAAATCAGACAATGACAATCTCTGAAATTTTGGTGTCTGGTAAGGACCGCTACTGTTACAATTAGACAAAAAAAGGCTTAGCGTTCAGCAACGCTTAGATCCTTTTATAATATAACAACAGTGTTTTTGTTTTTTTTTGGCTTGGTTGATATTTTGAATATAACACACTGAAACCGGTGGGTGCTTACCTGTTGCACAGGACACTGTTGTTGCTGACAACCTTACGCAAGTTGTGCGCCAGATGTCCTACACTTGTTAATTCGGTGTAATACAATCCAAGACTCGTTTACAATGAACACCGAAAAGCCGATCAGCATTTAAGCTTGGAGAGACACTCATTAAAGCGTATGCAATCTGCGGGACCTCGCGTACAAGGAACCGTACGACAATGGCCACACGGTCTACACACTGCTCTCTCAATCTCTCTCTCTCAAACACCTTGACCCTCGAAAAAAAATAAAAACTGCGCTCCAGGTATCCGTCAGGGTCAATCATCTGTCACGTACCAGGAAGGCATACATACCCATTCGTGCTTGGAGATTTTTAATTTCTTATGGCTTTCGACGTCATGCCGTACATGAACTCAAGGACTTGAAGGACGGAAGACGCATGGCGTGCAGAAGCATGGTGTCAAACAAAGAGCTTGGTTGTAACACGAGGTTTGATGAGTGTTACTGCCGAAAGATGAGCGTGGAAGTACATCGTAGTTTTTTCTTGTTACTTTTGTTCCATGTTAAAATTTGACAGGTACACAAGGAAGTGTAGTCGCGTCCTTTGTATTTATTTATTTTTGTACATTTTGTTTTTACATATTGTAAAATGTCAATTCCAATAGGTACGGGCTAATTTATTTCCAATATCTCGCAGCTGTGTGCTGGGTCTACAGACAGCAGAAATTCTTTGTGTTGTTTTATAGCCGGTGGAAGTTTGTTTACTTTTGTAGTAACCAGGGGGTTCTTAAAAACAAAATTTAAAATTAGTCTCTTAGATAACGAGACAGCTTCTACATCCTACAAAAACGAAAAAGTTGTTGAAAAGATAAAAAGATGGGAGGGCGCGAAAGAGAGAAAGGGGCATACCAAGAAGGTAGTAGAAAAAAAAACTAGATGTATATTATATTGTGGATCTACTTACAGGTGCTATGGGACATGTAAGAATTGCTGAACAGTCTCCGCCTCCACACATGCTGCTCAGTCGCGCATGCCACACACGTTGCTGACACATGCTGCTCAGCCGACTGAATGCTGAAGCTACGCAACGGTGCTGACGACCAGCAGCTGATGAAGAACCCTGAAAGCACTGCCTACAATATTAACGAGAGGTCCATTGTCTTCGAGATGCCTACAGTCGCCTGGAGCACGTGGTTCGTTTATTTCGAGCTTTGTCTGGAATGGTGAGGGCCTCCGTGATGATAGCGTATATGCTGTACCGGTTGAGTATCTAGAATAATGTTCGCCTCTCTTCGGCATACTCGTTGCATGTGTACAATATGTGATAAAGATCTTTGTCAGCATAGCGTGTGCCGATATTTCGCCCGAGATGACTAATCCGGATGTTCGTATTAGCACGCCCGGTTCTGAGCATGACTTAGGCTACAGTGACACAGCTTTTTCCTCTAGCATTTGTGAAGGTATAGGTTATTCCAAATTAAATTGGCGATGGTTTTGTAGCTGACACAGGGCCATCAACTCTGTGACTTCTTATTGTCTAAACGTACGTAGTTTAACGATCTTGTTCTAAACCCTTGCTAATCTATTCACCTTTGTACGGCAGCATACATGTTTTACATGTTGCTCATAGGCGAATAGTCTAAATCAAAGTTCTCCAAACTCCGGCCCACGGGCAAGATCCGGCACGCAAAAATTTTTTGATCGGCCCGCCGCGGCCGCTGTCCTTCCAAAAAATCCCAGCCCGCGGCCCGCGGCCGCAGGCCGGGGGCCGGGCATCACACGCAAAGAAACTGCGCCGCGACGCGCCCCAATAGCGCAAACGAAGATGCCACAAAGAACGATAGAAATTGCATTGAAACCCGGGCTGTCTAGTAATGTTTTTTTAATTTAACATTGTCATCATTAGTCACCATATTAGTCCCTTGCTTTATGTCGCATCTCTCCTCTGACCTTGATTCGACAGAGTGCCCCCTCCTCGCCGCCAGAGCTACTAGGGATCATTTTCAGCCGATCACAACTGCTTGACTCAGAGAGCTCTAACGTTCTGAATCAGTCACAGAAGTAAAATTTCTCGACATCGGTGATGGATGAAAAAAAAATGTTTACAACGTAAAATGGATGACTGAGCAAAGTTTACACTAGCAACGCGATGAAACAACGGCTGTGACAAACTGTAAACTGTTCTACGCATCGGCATGTAAAAAAAAAAAAAAAAACTATCAGCAGCTTGCGTATCAATCTTTGCAGACTAAAACGAACGCTGTTTGAAAATAGCTGTCAACTCATCGCGTTTTTGACAGTGAATGGGATGCGATGGCGGTCATACCTACGGCAGAAGAGGCAAATATAAAAGGGTTCAAGAAACGAATTTTTCTCACAGCGGAATATTGCGCAAGCAGCAACCACAGGATATAGCACGTATCACCTTGTGACACAAATCATAGTCCCGTAAAGTCGGCTCATCTTTTTATTTTTTACAATACAAACCTTTGAGTGCGTTTTTACCAAACCTGAAAATTCCTTGAGGCGTTCACAAAACCCGGTAAAACAGGCCAGAGGTCTCCGAGTTGTTTCTTCATCGGTTAGGCTTAGCGGATCCACCACCGCCAAACGATCTCGTAAAAGCACTAGGAATACTTTCTATGCAATTTTCCCGTCACTGTCACAAGCGAACGTCGTCCAGTCCATTGTAATCCTCGCACCGAAAAATGCACACGCACCTTGTAGAACCAGATTTCCATCGCCGTCACGCCGCACCCTGCAGACCACCGCAGACGACTGCCGCTGCCATCGTCAACAAAACCACGTGATCCCCGTTAACTACCACGTGACGCTTGCACCACTCCGCACTCCGACAGCTAGAAAAGGAGTGCTAGGGAGCGCTCTGAGAGAGAGGGGTACCCTCGGATAGAACCAGCCGATCAGGTCACCGCACTCTCTCTTAACCACGAACCTCGCACGCTCTGGAAAGAGCGCTCAAGAGAGCGCGGAGAGTACCACGCGAATTCGACACATGGTAAAATTCTTTTGCGTTCTTATGTACTTTACACTGTGTCCAGCGTCCTCTGTCAAAACTATTTCGTGCTGTCAGCACTATTTTTATCACTTTCATTAGTCCTTTGCACTGCGCGAATGTAGCAAAGTTTCCATGCGCCCGGTGAGTTTTCTTGATCCCAATTGTTTTAACAGACTCTGCGTTTGAAACAGTTCCGTCAGCGGGTCAACGATGACATAGAAGCCGCCAAGTTGGACCGTTAAGCATGTTAACAAGTTCATATCGTGTGTGGAGAATAAGGTGTATTTCATTTATTTGGAATATGGGGGTCAATACATCGGGCAGACGCGAAGGTGCGTCAACCACCGGCTTCGAGAGCACCACTTAGAAGTATCACGAGCTTCTGCGGAATCATACGACCCACCTGTCGTGCGCCCCTGTCATGGCTGCGCAACATTTCTCGATCAAACTAGAATTGTGGGGGAGGACGCAAGAGCAGATAAGGTAGAGAAATAATCAAATCATTCACAATGAACATTGTCCAAAATAACGTTTCCGCGCCTTCCTACTTTCTAAAACTGAAATTGATTTCTTGACGCCAGAACTGGATTAGTTGCATGTTCATTCCCATCTGACGACCAATTTTTTTACGGCAAATCATTCTTTCTTCTTTTCCTTCTTTCTTATTCGCAAGTTTTGGGGAATGTAGGGGGCGCTGCGTAGTTCAAAGATGGCGGTCAATAGGGGGGTCGGTTCGCCATGGGCATCACAGCTCATCGGAATCAACGTGTTTAGCGGCAGATAATACTGTGCGATCGACTTCAGTATCTCATTAGTACGTATTTGAAGATGTGCGGGCAGCTAGCCAAACATATGAAAACCCCTTGTGGCTGCAGGCCACGCAAAACAAGAGTGAAAAAAATCGGCACCGGCAGAGTGGAAAGGGGGACCGTTTCGCCACGTGCACTCTGTTGCAGTAAGACCAGCCTTCTGACACAAAGTGTGATGCGATGGCCAGTCGATTTATGTTTGATGACACACGGGCAGCAAGAACATTTGAGGACACCGACTGCTTACTGGTCGCGCAGCGTAAACATGAAAAAAAAAAAAAGAAAAAAAAAAACGAACGCCACGACCATTGTTATAAGCCGCTATGTAGTGGTACGTCTCAGGAATGCTGCACAAGGTGCCACTGCGGTAAGCGCTATTTATGTTGTCTCACAATTTGTTTTATACGTTAAGTGTTGATCGCCAACAAACCGTACAGTACAGACGCCGACAAGCGGTCGAAGACATCGCGTGACACGAGCGAACGACCGTTGGTCAATATCCTCCTTGGGTAAGCGCCGAAAAAAGTCCGGAAAATACGAACCAGACAAGCAGGCTAATATCAATTCAATTTCGTGAACATCATGCAACTTTATTTTGTTTATGGACATACAACAATGCGACCGAAAACGGGTAGCTACATTGTCTCTTTGCAAGAACAAATAGCTCCAGAGAAGCACCGAACCATTCGCGTATACTTTGCTCGGTACCACAAACATTATGTGCTATACGTATGGCTAAACGTTGCACTCATGTGCAATCCTTGTACAATGGTACAAATAAAAGGAGGAAACAATCCTGAAAACAATATCACTTTATTTGGCGCCAAACAGAAGAATTTCAAGTTGCTAGGGGGTATTTATGCTATGGTCGGAATCGAGCGAACTCAAGATGCAGCAATAATATACGTTTCTACACTTTTCATATGCAATAAACAAATCCTAATAAAAGTACACCGTCAATCGCAAATTGCATTCGAAGAAACAAGCCAGCTGCAGAGGTAACCGTGCAAAGCTTTCGGACAAAAGCGATAAAGCAGAGATGGCCGAGACGTTGCGTGTATACACTAAAAGCCTGATTAAGTCTTCCTGATTCCCATAGTGTACTTAAAGCTGTTATATCCATAATAAAGAAACGTTCAACCCACCTTCGTTGACATAAACAATCTTCAAAATCTACAGGGGAGCACTTGTCGATCATCCGTCGACCGTGACAACTTTCGTATAGGGCTATAGTGCTGTCTCGGCAAGCGGGGAGCACCGACGATGATAACATCGACTTTTATGTTTTTTACGATCACTTTCACGTCGGAAGGCAGCTCCGTGAAAATCATGGAACCACCGAGCTCACACAGACCGCGAAGAAGACGCTTTCAGTGTCTTCTTCGAGCGTCGGATCCGCGACGAGAGGACGCAGGCCGTGCTTTCTTCGACGTGCTGTTGCCGCGTGGGATTTTGTTGCACATTGCGTTGCTCGTTTATTGTACTACCGTCGCGTAATATTAGTTCGGGCGTTGTTTGTGAGAGTCCGTCTCGAACGTTGCGAGACTACACAGCAAAACAATCCACCTCTTTTTGTTCCTGAGGTTGGCCGCCAGGGCGGCGACACCTTAGCTGAAACTTCCCAATTGTTTTTAAACGCATTTTATTTGCTTTGCTCTCCCTCTTCATACGTCCCTTTCTCTCCCTTTTTTTATCGACGTGTAGGACTTGCAAGAATGCATTTGGAACCATTTATGTTGCTGCGAGATGAAAGGTTGGTCGACCGTCCCAGGTGCGTGTTTTATACTTTCAGCGTCAGTCATCGTTAAATCAACACGCTCCTCAGTTTCCTTTGAAAATTGTTGTGTAATTACAAAATTAGCTAGATATTAAATTTCGAAGTGAAGTAAATGTATTCATCCACTTTATATTTTTTTAATGCTTTCTCTTGCATTTATTTCTGTGTTTTCATGCTTATCTAGGTTCATTTATTTAGCTTTTCCTAATTTTCAATTACTCACTTTTTTCCGGCCCTCGAGACTCTGGCAAAGCCACAATCCGACCCCGTAGTCAAGAGGTTTGAAGACCCCTGGGCGAGATGGTGCGAGGTAAGTTACATCAAATTCAATTACAATTCGGAAAAAAATTAGAATTAAAATTCACCACAGTATTTCATTACTATTGAATTTTGCACATGCATTGTATAAAACAATAACACCAGTTGTTCTTATATAAGTACAATGCATAAAATGAGTAAGTAGAGCAGCACCGTTTGTTCTTATTTATAAACGATCTGTACAGTAGTTGTAACAGAATGCGACACAAAGCAAAACAAGGTGCAGTACAGAATACGACACGCTATTTTTTTATTGAGCGTTGATAGCCTCTCATGGGCTATTATATTTGACATTTTCAACAGAAAATCCCAAATGTCACATTTTACATTAGTTCTGAAAAATACCATATCAACCACAAGAGCTTGGCAAACCAAGCCTAATCGTGCTTTTCATTTTGAATCCTCCGGCTGTCAGCACCGCCGTTTACAATTTCTGCCTTGTCAGGAGAGGGTCCACGTTTTCTTGTGTAGGATTTAGAATAGAAGTTTACGAAAAGACACATGACAAGGAACGCCTGCGCATTCCCAATGTGGATGAGGTACCTCGGGAAGCCACAGTCTACAAACAAAGGAATAGACATGTGAACCATGTAAATCACGAACTGAACAATCTGCAACACTGTCAGGTACCTCTTCCACCAGAGGTACTGTCTGACACTTGGGCCAAGTGTGGCCAGAAAGTAGTAGGCGTACATGATGGTGTGCACGAAGGCGTTGATGATGAGCCCGAGGGCCGGTTGTCCTTCTGGCGCAAATAGAACCCAGAACCAGGCGTTCACCGCCACGATGGTGTGATGGATGACGTGCAGATGGGTGATGTGCGTGAACTTCTTGCGGAAGACGAAGAAGAAGGTGTCCAACAAGTCGGCGTAGCGTACTGCGACGTACCACCAACCTGTCTTGTAGTGTGCTCTGAGCTCGTCATCCATGTACCCTGTTATTCCCTGACAGAAGAGGTTGTAGCGCCCTCCGGGAAGGTACGTGTAAATGAGCACAAGATACACGAACCTTGCGTTGAGGACGACCATTGCCAGGTTGTAAAAACGGATGAGGTTCACGATAGGGAACGGTTCTCTCTTCTCCATCCACTTGGGGCCGGCCACTTTGACGAAGTACAAATAGAACAGTATTAACGGGAACACGAATAAGGGGTTCATGACCAGTGGGTAGTCTCTTGTTCGTGGATCCCCCATCTGTTGGATCTGGCCCAAGAACGTTATGGGGTTCATGCTGAAGGTTAAATTAGCGGTAGATGCACCGCTAGCCATGGCTTGGCTGGTTTACCTGTAAGGGAAACGTGAAAGCAAAATATGACTGAGAGAAGAGAGAGAGAAGAAAACAATATACAAAAGGTAAGATAAAGTCAAAAACACTCTTAGTGTGCTCTATATTGTCACTACTGTTTCCTCAAAAAGTCGTCTTTGTTTTGAATTTTTTTCCTCCTGTACTAATTTTCGTTTTTTATATGAATCTTCATTAACAATCCTTTTCTGCCTACTTTTAGTTTATCTTTGTTTCTCCCCGGCTGCTTTTCCTGTCTCAGCTTTGCTCTTCCTCTCAGTTTTCCTGTCGGGAAGCGTTTCCTGGTCAATTATTTTATGACCTAGAGATTTGATTGCTACCACTTTGGACTTAATTAGTAGCTCGTCTTGTGAGGCGTTCTTTTGGGAACTAATTGCCCTTACACCTGAGGCTGACCCAACTTGACGCTGATAAAGTCACGAAGTGTACTCGCGAAGCTTAGAGTTTTAACGCATAGAGACAAAACACGTAAAACTCAAACCGCTTACTTTTTTGCCGTGTTTTGCGGGTTTCACCATTCTACGTATCGATTTCATAAAGTTATAATAGTTAGGTGTTTTTTTCTTATACTTTGGCAAGTGGTCATGTGTCCCTGACCCGTTTGAAGAAGTATAAAATGAGGAGAAGGTGCAACAAAAACTCGAATTGATCTTTCAATTGATTAAACGATGAGCGTTCAGCACGACAGGACGAAAATTATTCTGTGTATGCATGGAAGGTCGATTAATTGGAAACAAATTACAGAAACTTAAACATCTTTTACGTCCACAACTCGCGGCTAGAAGACACCACGTAATCTCGTGCTACTTGCATGCTGGTCATGCTCTCCCCCGGATGCTGTTAAGGCTCGGGAATTACAACCCCAGCAGTGATTTGACACGAGCTTCAACACGATGGCCACCACGTGCACTGACATCGGCCGAGCCCAAAAAGTGCTCTGACACGTTTCTGAGCCCAATCCATAAGCCGGAGTTGGGCGTAAAACAATATCCGTCACCGATGTTACCTATAGCTTCCCGGCGGTTAAAAAAAATGGTCCGCAGGGCTTCTTGTGGTCTCAAGCCCGAAGAGCTTCACTGAAGCACCTGGCTCGTTATGCTACATTCTTGTGTGCTTCGATTCCCGATATAATTTTACGGTTTTCTTACGCAGCCTGTTGCATTGTCGCCGATCTTTTGAAGGAACTGTTAAAATCGACACCGAGCGCGGAACGCATAAAAAGTATTTGCGGATACATTCTAAACCACTCTCTTTTAATTGTTTATTTTATTTTTCAGCAGCGAGGAATCCTGTTGAAAACCCATTACACCGCTGCATATCGTTTGACGTTTGACGGCGAATCTGCCTGGATTAAAGCCATTTTGCCCGACTCCTGCGATTGACTTTTTCCATGCTCTGGAGCCCTGGTCCGCCAAGCTCGAGAGCAGATTGCAGCGATGGAGTATACTCTTGTTCTAGCTTATCATAAACTAAACGTAGATTGTATGTTGTAAATTGACTAAATATATTATTAAAGCATTCCCCCTTAAACGATGCGCCATGTTTGTTCTCATGTAATGTCACGTAAGAACTGACGAAGTAGGATTGAATAGATTCGGTGTTTTCTGTTTTGGGTTTACTAAAAGGTTCTTCTTTTATCCGCACTTTAAGAATGAGCTCTTGAAATATTGCTTTTGAGCCTAAACTCCAAAACGAGATGAGAAAGACGGCGGCATATTACGCCCGCATTTAGCCAAGATATGACTGGTACCATATCCATATCATGCTCTTCTAACCAGGGATTCAAACCGTAACAGTAACCGAAACCGAAAACCCTGTAGGAACGAAATGTTTTCAGTAACCGTAACCGAAACGAAGCCGTTATTTGAAATTTATGAAAACAGTAACCGTAACCGTAACCGTAAATTATTTACCGGTGAGCGATAATAACCGATATTAACCGAAATATAAAAACATTAGTCTTTTTTTTTTTTTGTAATGACATTGAGGAGGGACCTTGAAACGTCGTGGACATTTGACTGGAGTTACCGTCAACGAGTGGGGCATTTGAGATTAATCTAAATTTAAGGTTAAGAATACTTGGTTGGAATCTCTGGTCGAGCTTATAATGAAAAGTCTATATTTCTAAATCAGCCACCCTCTCACAAGCACTGCACGTATTCAGTACGTGTCGCCTTCAGGGTATTAACTAATAAGTTGGAATTCTGAGATGTTTATCCAACTCGTTTCTTTCGAAACCACCGATGTTCCTAACCTGCACTAGCCGGTATGAAGAAACGAGTTAAATTGACCATCATATAGGGCTAACGGAAAACAAAAGTCGGATCTTGAGCTTCAACCAACGTTACTAAAACACTCAGTTGGGAAACTCGCCGTCGAAACCTGGGCCGCTGGCGTCCACCGAGACCGAGCTAAATGCGACAACTGCGCCACTCTTTATCGTTTGTCTGTACTGTAATCCCCTTGAGCTTTTTGAAAGCCTGTTTTTGCGTAAAAACAAACGGAAAAGACTCTTTCTGTATGAAATTTAATGGAGTTTAGTACCAAATGATGGGCGCGTGATGTTTTTTTCATCTTTAGTTCGCAAGGTTTTGCGGAACAATTAATATTGTTTTTATAAAACCATGCCTCAGCGGGCCTTTCAGGTAGCGCGTCCCGACCTAGGTGCATTTTAACTTCGGTAGTTCGACGCGGCGCGTCCGCCGGGGAGACGGGGTTTCACCCCTGTCAAAGCCAAAAATAGAAGTCACGTGCAGTTTCTCGAGTGGCCGCTTCGGGAGAAATGGTGGCGTTGTGTTCGTCATTAGCTCGATGCTCGGAGACAGATTGGGGCCCTATTTTTATGGCTGTCTCTATGGGAGTTTCCCAACTGAGTGTTTTAGTAACGTTGGCTTCAACGTAAAAATCCGGCTCGGCGAAAGTTCGTGACATCCCGAGTTGCAGTATATTTGTAGGAAAAGCTCCGCCTCCAAACCATGGAGGTTTGGAGGCGGAGCTACTATATACATGCACAATGTTTCTAGCCTCACAAGATCGGACAGCGAGAGACGCGCGCTTCTATAACAACATGCATTTGCTCGGAAGTGGCAAACATGACGTAGGTGTAACGGAGCACAACAACGAAGGCTATAGGGAAAGGAACGAACAACACAGAGCATATTTTTACAGCTTTGTGTTGTTGTTCATTCCTCTCCTTAGTCTTCCTTGTTTTGCGCTATTGCATTTACATTATTTTTTACTTTCACCAACTAGCGCAGCCCTCAGCTTTGTTACTTTATTCCGCTTAGCAGTATTTTACTAGATGACGCCTATAGTTCTGCTCCTTCCTTCAGTGTGGGCAAAGCCTCTTCTGGACATCTTACGTTGCAACAAACTATAGCTACGAGAAGGTGCGAATAGTTCTTCTAGCACCCAGTGGGAACTTTCTGATGGTTTTTTACAAATTCTGCCGAACAACAAAAAAGCGATGCTTATTTTTATTTTTATTATTATTATATAAAATGCGATGATCTCCGAGTAGCGGGGGTAACATGTATGCTTGGGTATCAAACTATATAATGCAAATAGATGTAGTGAACAAGTGTTGGAGCTAGAAACTTGTGCAACTTTTGACCAAGCTAGAAGTACTAAGACATTTTTGAGTCTCGTTATTGTGTATGTCCTGTTGTTGAATATCTGGGACTACTTTCAACCGTTTATTATAAAACGACTGTCTAGCATATTGCCACGCTCGTCGGCGATCGACCGCGCGCGTGGCCGAGTGGTTACCGTGCTTGACTGCCGCGCGGAAAGTGTGGGTTCGATTCCAGTCAGTGGAATGCTCTTTTATTTGTTCTATCAACATTGCGTTCTCGTGAGTTCGAGAACATTCTCGTCTGATCGAGTTCCGAATGTTCCAGTCGCCGAACAATCTAGGCCGATTGTTCCAGAACCCAACGCGCGTACATAAGAGACTCCGCGTGCTGATCTGCAGTCAGTTTCGCCCCAGCGTTCGACTCTGCTCTTTCGCCGACATCGACGCCCGCGACGCTCTACTGTTATCTTCTGTTTCCTTTTTTTTTTTTTTTTGGGGGGGGGGGGGGGGGGCACAAGTTCGCCCCATTAAACGTTTAGTTTCTTCATTTGTTATCGCCTCATCACTTGTTATTCGTGACATTTTGGTGGAGGTGCGGGGTACCGCATGCCCGTGCAGCGTTCCCCTCCAAGGGCCCGCAGTGCAAGTCCGATTCCCGGCTCGGTGAGAAGACCACTCAACGCGGAACCTGAAACTCGGACCAGCCGCCGCACCAAGGAAGAGGATCCTGAGTACGGTTTGCTGCTGGACAAGCCCAAGCCGAAGACGATGATGGCCAACCAGTCACAAGCCCCCGCCGCTTCTCCCGTCATCTTCATGCCCGTCGCACCGCGGACGGCTGCCCCCTTCCACGGTGAACTGTACGAAGACGTCGAGGATTGGATTGACCAGTACGAACGTGTCGCCCGCCACAATGGCTGGACCGACGAGCAGCGTCTGCCAAACCCGTATTTTTCGCTCGAAGGGACTGCCAGGTACTGGTACGAAAATCACGAGCCTTCTTTGACACCTTGGGATGTTTTCAAGAGCCAGCTGAAGGCAGCATTTCTCAACCAACACCGCCGAGAGAGAGCCGAAGACCTACTTCAAACCCGGACCCAGGGCCCCAACGAGAGCGTCACCGGCTTCGTGGAGGACGTTCTGCGCCTGAGCGCCCGGGCCGACCCTCAGGCTACGGAAGAAAAGAAGGTTCGAATCCTCATACGGGCTGTGAGAGACAACATCTTCGGCGACCTTGTTCGTAGCCCTCCGACAACAGTCGCTAATTTTGTCACTGAGGCGACGAACATCGAGCGTGCCCTACAAGCCCGAGCCAGCCACTACCATCGACCACCCGGCCTCGCTGCCCTCGCGTCGTCTAGCTGCGATCTTGCCCCCAGTATGCCGGGCATCCGCGAGGTCATTCGAGACGTTGTCCGGGAGGAGCTCCGGAAGCTGCTG